TATAATATAAAATGTAATTTTATTACTAAAAATTATTTTTAGACCACCAACATTATTGTTTTTTAATACGCCATATTTTTATACAATAAAAAAGTCGGTATATTTCAGAAGTATTATTTTTTGATTAATGGATTATTTTTAATATTAAATTATAACAAATTTTTGTATTAAACAGCATTTGGTATTCGGTATTTTGTATTTCATTGGCTACGTTAAACGATAAAATTGTTAATAAAAAAGTATTATTAATGTTACTGTGTTTCTTTATTACAAATATACTGGTTTCTCTTTTTACATTAAAGTAAGAGTAATATTTAATAATAGTAGGACATTAAATAACCCAAAAAGTAAATAGGTTGGTTAACTGAATACGAGCATCTATTGTATTGTTTATGATAAATGGCCAACGCTAAATAAATAGATAACGGACTATTATCAATAGATTTTAATAAACTATTATAAATTATGTACAAACAAAATTCATAATAGGTTACCTATGAAACACGACCAAGAGTAGATAATGTTATGTTAAAATTATTGGAAAATTTAAAATAGTAGTTAATACTTATAAATTTTCTCTTATTTATTGTCAGTTGGTTATTATTTATTTATTCGTCGCATGGCAGTTGTAAACATGTTACAATGTTAACCCATCACCAAAATACATGACCAATAAAGAATCATTAAAAAAACTTGATTTTTTTTTATTTATACTGATTATCCTATTAAAATCCAAAATCTGCTCATTTATTGCCTCTAAGGCGGAACAAAGTTCGTCGGGTCAGCTACTATGAAATAAAATTTGATAATACTAAGTTAATAATATTATCATCGAAAATTATTAATCTAAATTATTTGTAAATAACTTTTTATGAACTTTGTCTAGAATCTTATCATAATTCATAAGAATTCTTAAGATAAAATATTTGTTTATTTCGACCAATATACGTAGGTATTAGTATGTGACCAATGCTATAAAATATTATAGTACACAAAAAATTGCATTATCTAGGTATAATATACCAACTAAATTCATTATTCATTCTTTATGTTTTCAAGTATTCAATTAAAAATATCAAAAATAATAAAATTCTTAAATTCAACTGAATGGGGCTTACCATTTTTTCCACTATCTCTTTGGGCCGTACTGGATGTGCACGGAAATGTACATAGTTCAATGCAAGTCATTGCACTCGAATAATTTATCTGAGTTTTGGGTTTTGAATATATTTGGGTGTTCAAACACCGCAATACAACATTTAAACAAACGTTTGGGTGTAAATAACCGTTATTATTCGGATTAATATTGGTTAATACGGGTGTTAAGTAGTCAAGGAAAAATATTATTTTTCATTGGTGGAGGATAGGTGGGGAGGCTGAGCCCCCCCCTCCACTAATGAAATATTAAAATTTTTTATTACCTGCTTATATAATAATATATCGATTTCTTATACAACGGTGCAACAGTTTTTAAGACCAAACTATCATTATGTTAATTTCAAGCAATGGTGTAACTACAATTTATTTTCGGGGAAGAGGGAGTTATTTTATATGTTTGTGAAGCTTATAAATTATAATATCTATTAAAATTAAAAATACTAACACTATGTTCTACTCTTAGTTAGTGCACGCATGCATATCGCATGCGAAAAAAAACAAACTATTTTGTATTCAGCGTTTGTTCTTGTGGTGCATGCACACACTAAAAACGTACTAGCTAGGACATATCGTAATACAAAAATAATAATAATTTGTACTTAGGAATGTTACGATGAAATTATTACACAAACAAAAATTGAAAATTACGTGCCTTAAACATGTGTACTACACGCCATACGATAAACAAATACGAATAACGCGAACAATAATTTAGGTAATCATACGCGAGACATCAATTCTATTTCAAATTCTATTTCAGACTAAGGTCTATTTACACATAACCGTTCCGTGTCCGTTCTGTATCCGTAACGTCCGTTCCGTGTCCAGCGCTTAAAGTTTGTTTACTTGTTATGTAATGGGCATGTTTACACAGGTCCGTTCCGTATTCGCACTGTCCGTGTCCGTGCTTTAAAATTTGTCGGAGACAATGTTTTTGGGGATTTCACTGATACGGATATGAAAAATAAGGAACTATGTAAACAGCCGTCAGTGACAACTGACAGCTTGATCGGTTTTCATACCTACTCGCGAGACGCATTTGTAAATTTTAAAGTTTAAAGTATTTAAAAAGTTGTTTTTTTCAAAAACTTGAGTACCTACATTCAAATCATGTGTACCAATATCGATGAAAAAAAAATAGAAATGGTTCGTTCTTATATAGAATTAGCAGCAAAGCAAGTACAGCTAGATTTTCTAGCGATTCTGCACTTCTAGTCATATTATAATTTCTTTCAAGCACCCAAAGAAACAGTGAAACACGGTATTTAAAACGCGCGTTAGGTCAAAAGATAGGTGTTCGAACAGCAGTGAACGGGAGCGGACAACGGATGCGGAACGGACACGGAACGGTATTGTGTAAATCCAAAGCACTGAAACTAAACGGACGGTACGGATACGGAACGGACACGGAACGGTTATGTGTAGACCTTACAGTATTGCAATAAATAACGACTTTGTGATTCGTAGAAGTAACTACGATAATCATTTTCTATTAAATTATAATAATACAACATATCCGCTAGGGATAATTTTAAAAATAATATCCCAGTTGTTTATACTTGAACAATCAACATACCATACCATTCACGTACATATGTCAATATGATATATTGCTATTGTCTTTATTAGATAAATTAAGATTAATTAAAAATCTTGTATATCATTTGTGAAATTATTCCTGTGAATAATAATTTTACTGTTAAATATCTAATGACAAAATTGAAATAACCATACAAAATACATACAAAATGATATGTCACACAAAGATTGTAAAATAAAAAATTATTCGGGTTTCGGGTTAAAACCAATATTTTATTCGGGTTTTGGTTAATTCGGATGTTTCAAAAAAAAAAGTCATTCGGGTTATATGGGTTTTGGGTGTTTGATTTTTTAAGGGTTTTAAGGGGGGTTAAGGGTTCAGGTGAATTCGGGTGCAAAGCCCTGGTTCAATGGTTCAAAAAAACTGAGAATGCAGATTGCTCAACGAACGGGTTTTCCTTAATGGTTAAGTATAATGTGTATTTGAAGTCTTAAATTTACTTTTTTTGCATAATAACGACAACCCTGACTTTTGATGTAATATTTAAACAAATATGATCGTAATAAGATACAATCAATACAATAATTATTATCTAAATGATTTTGAACTGTGTTGTATTGTGTAAGTTTCAAAATAAGAGTTATGTTCAACAACTCCAATCTAATCATCGACTTTTTTGAATTCCAATAGTTGTATGATAATTATGAAGTCAATTATTAAGGTTTTTAGATTTTAAAAATCATTGAAATCACTGAATATAATAGATTATAGAAATAAATGCGTCAGTTATAATCAAATCCGATCACTTTTATTACAGTAGATATTTTGAAAATATAAATATAAATCGCATTACATTTTTTTTTCTTATTTAAATTATTACTCTAAAAATATAAATACATTTTTAATATTCAAATAAATACTTTATAAGTTTTTTTTTTATAATTATAAATTATTTTATTTTCAAAAATAAAAATAAAATAATGTTTAGAAATTATTTAAACTCAAATCAATTTTTTAAAAATTTAATTCTCACTTCTTACATAAATAATTAATACTTCAATCGTATATATTTTAAACTAAATTAAAATTAAGTTTCTTTTTATTCATAAATAACATATTTTTCACTTAAATCATATTTCCAGAGGTTACTCTAAACCACTTTTCTTTATATATTTAGTATTTTAAGTTAAAATAATTGATAACCAAAATAGTTTAAATTCCACTCATAATGAATTTTATTTCAGATTTTAATATTCAAATTGCTAAAACTATACAATAACTTTTAGATATAGAGAAATATTTTCTTTTAGAAAAATGTATAACTTATTGTAATTTAGAAATAACTCTTTACCATTTCATAACATTTCATTCTAAATTTTTGATTGAAATATACAATACATAGTCAAATTAGTTTTATCAATTATGTTTTTTTATACTCAATTACTGTTTTGTTACATATAAATAAAATAATCTCCATGCCAACAGCCATATTTTTTAGTTTTGAATTTTCATATTTTAAATTTAAAATGTTTAAATAACAATATTAAGTGAGATTTATTCTGTTTGATTAATGTTTCCCTATGTCAATAAATTATTTTATAAATGCTTGTAAACTGATTTGCTGAAATTTATTACTCTTGCAACTAGTTTGTTAGCTTATCACCATTGTTTTATTTATAAATGTAATAAATTAGTACATTTAAAATAAATAAATATTTAGAAAAAAATCAAATCAATTTTAAGTCATTCAAATCTCACTTTTCAACTTAATTAATCAATTCAAATATTCTTCAAATATTACATTTTAAATTCAATTATCACATTTTATGATGCTTTTTATTTATAAAAAAAATAACTTATATTTTTCACCTAAATCTAATACAATTATATATATGTTTTTCTTTTTTGTGGTAATACCCTCCCGGATACCCCCTAATATAAAAATCAGAAGGAAATAAAATAAAAACTAAAATATACTAATATATGATTAATAAATTATGTCAAAAGAATATACCATTTCTTAATAATTTCATATTGTCTGTAATAATAATGTATTACAAAACAAATAAGTATCTATAATTATTAGCATACACTGGTACATAAATAAGTGTACAAAAATTCATTCGCTAATTTAAATGATTTGCGAATAACATAATAGAAATATAATATTTTTTTGTTAATAACAATTAATGCTATGATAAATATTGCATAAATAATAAATAAACTAGGCGATTCCAAAGTTTGAGTGCTGCATATCAATGTAATAAATGAAATAATAAAAATGTAGAACCGCATAATTATATAATAATTATTTATATTTTATTAAAACTAAATGGTAAGTGTTGTAGCGGAAATCCTTGCTGGAGAACTATAATATGATGATTTAGAAACCGTTATTACTCCGATTGAATATGTTGATCCTGGTTTTAGATCCACCAACTACAAAATAAGTTATTAATTTATTATGTAAAAAATGTAAATAATCAACTGGTCATGATCATATACAGTATAAGAAAAATAAGAGTTGGGAGTGTAAACAGAGATCATTACTCCATGTTAATTATTAATAATTCTTACACGGCATAAGACGGGTGAATGTCCTAATTTAATGAGTTTATATATATATATATATGAGTTTCCGTATTTATAGTTGGAACCGAATTCCTAAAAATAAAAAAATGTTAAAATTTTGACAAAAGTAGATATAGTTCGATCGACGAATCTGACTTATACTGGATACACTTAAAATTTCGCGAAAAAAAACTATTTATTTATCATGTCAACTGATCAAATTAGGCAAAAGAATAGAAAAAAATAATTTGGATTCCTTCTCGCGTATCGAAATTCGGTAAATTTCTTAATGGTTTTATCACTATTTCGACTGAAAAGCAAGTTTTTTTTTTTTTATATTTTTATATTTTAAGGCGTACAATCTGTAAAAATTATTACAATAAGTATACATACGGTAATATGTATTATAGCTTGATATAACATGATAAAAGCAGCCACCCAATGGCGACACTTTATGACATGATTAGGTTGGATTTAAATTTACCTTTATATATTTAGCTAATTGATATTTAAGTCTCTACACCATTTTTTCTTCAGTCGACGAAGAGGGTTACCAGGAATGGTGTCGGAATCTAGAGCAGAGATGAGTGGATTGGAGTGGTTTGACAGTCGGGAGCGGAAACGTTTATAAAAGATTTTGGCAGTTTCTTCTATCGTATTCATTTTTAAATCTGTATGGAGGGTGTGATTAGAAACGTAAAATGGGGCATTTGTGATTAAACGGAGTGTTGTGGATTGGAAAATTTGAATTTTGTCTGTGTTTGATTTTTTGGCTGCACCCCATAATTGGATCCCGTATGTCCAAATGGGCATTAATAAAGTTTTATATAGGAGTAATTTTGTTTTTATATTAAGTTTAGAATGTTTACCGAGTAAGAATTGTAGCGATTTTCGTCTAGAGTTTAAGAGGATTTTTTTCTTTTTTATGTGGTCTGCCCAAGTTAATCGTTGATCTAGAAATAAGCCCAAATAACGAGAGCTCGAGGATTTTGGAATATTTTGGTTGTTTAAATGTATAGGTGGTACAGTACCATGTTTTAATGTAAAAGTTAGATGGGTAGATTTTTCGTGATTTATTTTTATTTTCCACTTGTCGTACCAAGAAGACATGAGGTCTAGGTGGTTTTGTAGATTCATGCCAGCAATTATTGGATCTTTGTGTGTGGAATAAATAATTTTGTCATCGGCAAAAGCTGCAACTGAGATGTAAGGGGTTGTCGGTTGATCAGCTGAGTACAGGTTGTAAAGGGTAGGATATGAAACGGCTCCTTGTGGACCCCTGCAGATATTCGGGCTAAGGACGATATTTCTGATCCAATTTTGGTCACAAAATAACGGTCTTCAAGATAAGATTTGTAAAATAGGTAGTAAGGTAGAGGTAAAATTTTTTTTAATTTATACAACAGACCAGGATACCACACTTTGTCGAATGCCTGGGCTATATCAAGGAGGACTGCTGTGCAATATTTTTTTTTTCTAAGGAACTAGATATGCAGTCAGTCAGTCTGTGTATTTGGTGAATGGTTGAGTGTCGTTCACGAAAACCAAATTGAGTTTGTGGTATAACTGATACGTTATTTATAAAAGGAGAAATCCGTTTTAATACTAACTTTTCACAAAGTTTACCGAAGAGAGGTAGGAGACTTATCGGTCGATATGAACACGGAGTATCAGGAGGTTTACCTGGTTTTAGAATTAGGATGATAACAGCGGTTTTCCATTGAAGAGGAAAATGGGATAGTCTTATGATTGCGTTTAATATATGCGTGAGGTGTATAATTGCTTTTTTGGGTAGCTGCAGAGCTACTTCTGACGTAATTAAGTCCAAACCGGGAGATTTTTTGTGGCGGAATAGTTTTAAGTAGTAATGAATTTCACCCGGCGAAATAGGTTTCGGTGCTAGATAAAGTGGAAATGGGGTAGTAAGAGAGTTCACAATATGATCTTTAAATACATTATTGACAATGTTATGGGGTTGGAAGACTTGAAACAAATGAGATCGAAAATGTTCATACTTTTCTGCATCAGTTTTGCACCAAGTATTATCTAATCTTTTTATGGGGAAATTTGTGGTTTTTTGTTTCAAACAACTGCGAGTTGCTCTCCACAGAGAACAATTTTGCGATGTAAGCGAAGAGACCCAAGAACTGTAATTATCATTTCTTAGTTGTTTTAAAATACGTTTGAGCGAAGAAGCAAGGTTGTTGAATGATTGTTTATCAGACGGGAGGCAGGTGCGTTGCCAAAGGGATCTGGCTCGTCGTTTTTTTGCTATGAGTTCACGGACATAAGTAGGAATTGGGAAAGTGTTTTGGGCTTTCCACGGTTTTTTAACAGTGGAACTACAAGCAGCTGTTTGGGTTATATCCGTAAACTGTTGAACAGCGTTTTCAAGTTCGTTTGGACACTTAAGTCGGGTTTTTTAGGTTGATTTTCTGTTCAATTATTTCGCGGAATTTATTCCAGTCTTTAATACCATCCGTAAGGCTAGCTTGTCGGGACCGTAGGGGAAGTTGAGCATCTAGAGATAGAAGGACTGAAGTATAGTCTAAGCATAGTTCTAAATAGTTATTTATGACATTTTTTAATCTCGTAGGGATATTTACTACAAATATGTCTAAGATATCTGGGCGTTTATTTATAGACGTTGGCCAGTAAGTTGGATCGAGGGGAGCTAATATGGTATAATTCTTTCGATTAACTATTTGGAGTAAAGTACGTCCTTTTGGGTTAGACGTGTGGCAGACCCAGGATTGGTTTTTGGCATTTAGGTCACCACCGACTATAAAACAGTGACCTAAATAGTTAAAAAAGTTTTCGTACTGTTGTGGCGTAATTTTGTGTTAGGGGGGACAGTATGTTGCAGCAATAGTAATTGGAATGTGATTTAATTTAATTGACAAAATGGCAGCTTGCAGGTAGTTTTCTTGTATATTAGGAATGGTGGTATATAGTAATGAAGGTTTTATAATAATTGCGGCACCAGCGTGGGAGGTGTTATCTGGATGGTTTGAGGTGATTATATTATAACCAGGTATTGAAAATTTAGTATTAGTAGTAAAATGTGTTTCAGAGATTAAGGCTAAGTCTAGCAAGTTAAAAATAAATGATAATAAGACGTTTTCTGTACTAAATCGTCTGATTAAGCTAATCATGTAGAATTACCGTATAGTTGTAATTCGGTAATTCTT